AACGAGGCGCGCGCTTTATGCGCGCCTCATTCAGATCGCCTCGCCTTGAAAAGGCGAGGCGCAATAGGTGGGCATAACGCCCAGGCACGCCTTTTAAAACACTGCTCCCGCCCTTATAACGTTGTCTATACACAGGTGACTAGAAGCATGAACACAGACACGAGAAACAAATAAGACATGACACAAACATAGCGACATATTATTTTCTAAAAATACAGGACATGGACATGACAATGACACGTTTATTAAATTATACAATTTTGTTTATGTGCATATATTTTTATACAACAAGTAAATTTAAAGTCAATAAGCTTATGCATTTTTAAAAAATGAATTTGATGTATTTTACTCTCAAAATTTATTATTTATCTTATATTATTATTTATGTCTATTTCTTATACTTAACAAGTGTTTGATACGTGCTTAACAATTGTCGAATCTATTTTCACTTTATACAACTACTTTGTGACACTCATCTATTAAGCTACCAAGTGGCTGATACATGTCTAACATATGTTGGAGTTTCATAGTATCCAACACGTGTTGGACATAGACATGTTATCCAAAATGAAGTGTCTGTGCTTCTTAGCTGGTGACTAATATTCCTCCCCTTTTTAGTAGCTCTCACAGAGTTATCAGTAATTACTATTTATTCCCTAACCCCAGGTACTCTCCCTCTCATCTATCTAATATAACCTACTAACCTACCTAATTCATCTAATAATGCCTCTCACCCCAGGTTACTCCTCTCAAAATAAAATATTTTGGTCCAAATACATCCCTTTATCCACTTTATCCATCTCCTTCCAACCACTTTCTTCTCCAAAACCCATTAGTAAGAATTCCTAATAGACCATGCTATAGGCTTTTTCGAGATCATTTCAGCACCTATCTTCAATTATTTCCTCTTACTATACTCATCCACTGTCTCATTTGCAGCAAGAGTAGGATCATAATTGGTATCCCTTCAATAAAAGCATTTTAACTTGTTTATATCGTAAAAGCTAATATCCTTTTCAATCTCTCTGCCAAGCCTTTAACAATAATTTTTGAGATACCAATGCCTCTAAAGTCTTCCACCTTTTTGCTTTCGGTTTTTAGTATATTTATCTATTATTGAATAAATAAATATATAACTAAGAGCCACCATGTGGTTACGGAAAGGCATCCATGCATACGTTTAAGTAATCAGACATGCAAGACATAATGAAAAACAAAAAATAAAATTGCGGCCGACAACACGTTAAACCAATGAATAAATGTACGCAATTTTTTATCAGTAAAATACCTCTGGACCATTGAAAACAGAAGGCTCATTCATGTCATTCCATATATATAAGGAAGGAGTGGAACCAACATAGTTTTCTAAAGAAAACTTCTCTCCCCACCAAGACCGAATCTCTGGACTTAACATGTCCAGGTACGATGATGAACCAGGCCAGCACCACCCATCAAAATCATTTCCAGCGGCATCCTTGACATAATATCCCTTCTTGCTTGCTTCTTTATGCAAGGGAAAAGAATCATCCCGCTTAATATGAGGGTCCACTATGGTAACCATGCGCCTTCCTTTGGCAGCCAACTTCCTCTGCATCTCTACCGGATTTGGAAACAGCGCCTTGTCCCATGTAAAATACCTCTTCCCATCCGTGTGCTCGATATCAAGCCACAAGACATCGTAGGGAATATCATATTCATCAAATTTGGAATCAACTTGCTCCACATCCTCTTCATCCCTATAATTCCACCTACATTGATGATATGCTGTTGCAAAGAGCTGGGGCATTGCCGGAGCCCCAGTCACACTAGTGTACTGGCGAACGACATCCTTAGGCCCTGGACCTACGAAAAAGAACGAATCCACAATGCCCGCCTCACTCATCCAAAAAGTATCGATCCTATTTTGAGAGGAAGGCAGAGAAATCCCAGATTCAGCATCCCAGCCAGATCCAAGAACATCAATCTGCATTTCAGCAGCATTCAACCAAAAGAACCCAGAAGTTCCCCGCAGTTTCCCATGAGAAATCATGAGCGGGATCGACCCATATAGCCCAAATGGAGACTCGTGAATATACTCGAAAACATCCAAATTGAAGAGCCTGTAAGGCTCCGAGTCCTCAACTCCAGGTCCTCTCGTGGGCTTCAGAGCGAGACTAGTGGCACGCTCCGGTATTCCATAAACAAAATCAGCATCATAAAACGAAACGTCGAAACTAATGGATTGGGGACCGTACGGCCTCTTATCAGTATGTCCTCTGAACTTCTCCTCCCAGTCCTCCCCTTCTTCCTTAACCCTCAGTTGCTCAAAATCGAATAATCCATGAGAGTTCAAAGACAAGACGCGCTTACCCGACTTCTCCCGCACGAAAACCTCAAACGGATCGTGCCGAAGCACTGCCTCATAACCATCGGACAAGTACACAATCGAAGACGGGCTCAAATCGCTGCCAATTTGCTCGGTTGCAATGCTCTGCAACCAGAGTTTCTTGGTCAAAAATTCGTCCACAATCACATCGGGTACCTCGAATCGCTTCTTGGGTGGACCCAAAGAAGGATCCTCGTCAATCCTTAGGCGGACAATGCCATCTTGATACACAGAAAGAGCGAGTAACAAGGGCTTCAATTGATGTTCTGGGTCGTCCTGATTCCTGGGGAGGAGCTTGGCGGTGAGGTCCCCATCGTTAATGGAAACATCATGGGCAACAAGGGAACAGGATCCGGGCTTAAGGGCGCGGGCTCGCTGGCAGAAGGGGGTCTGGTTGCAGTTCCGGAACTCGTCCTTCTTCCATGGGAAGACGAAGGTGGAGTGCAGAGAGAAGAGGAGTAGAAGGAGAAGGTGGGAAATTCTCATGGTAGCTCCGATCAGGCAATGATCATAGTAGATTTATGCAGAGAATTGGAAATGGAAATGGGGTAGAAGAGAAGAATGAATGGAAATTGGATTTTGGACCCTTTGCGATGAACAAAAGAGAGTGGAAAAGGGAAAATGTTCTTGTTGTGGGTTTATTTGGGTCGCAATTTTGCTCTCTTGGGTCTCTTATTGAACCTTGTATGGATCCATTAAGAAGCTTGTATTTTTCTAGATTCTAATTTACAATTCATGTTTCAATTATCACTTAACTAATTATTAGTTAGGCTCGTTTTGACACCAAAGTCTCAATTTAATAGAAATGTCGAAGAAAATATAATAAAAGGTTGATGTCATGGATATCTCTTTGGGAAAGAGATATAAAATAAACAATTCTAAAAAAATATTTAAATTAACAAATAATCATTTTATCATTTTTAAATAATTTAAAATTATTAATATTATGCTTGTATTAGTGAAATTTTGTTTATATTTTCATATTTTGTCAATTTTTCCTTAATATTGTGGAAATTTCGATTTGCTCCTCATGTTTAATCAACATAATACCAATGATCTCAAAAATGTAATTATAAAATGATAAATTTAGTTAACTTACATGTTTGATAACTTTTTGGTACTGTGTTCAATATGTTAATAAACTTTAAAAAGTGTATAGGTCCGCTAAAGCGTAAACTTTCAATTTTGTGTCTAATGGATTCGTAAATTTTATAAAATATCAAATTGAGCATGGACCTATTAAACAAAAATTGWAATTTTAGGGTTTAATTATACATTTTTTAAAATTAAAATCTATTAGCCATTTTTTAAAGTTTATGACCTATTATACACTTTTTGAAGTTCAAAAACCTACTAAAAGTTCAATGACTAAACTTGTAATTTATCCTATTAATTTGAATTATGTAGAGAAAAGTGTAAAAAAAGAAATTTAAAGCTACAATATGTATTATTATAAAACATTTCTATTAAAAATATATCTTAATTTAAGATAGGACACTTGACGCATAACAGTTTGGCCTAAAATAATAACAAATCTAGTATAAGGTAAAAAATTTGTAAATATAACACAATTTTTTAAAAGATTCGGCCAACATATTTCAACCATGCACATTATCAATTATAAATATTTGTTACTTGTTACGGATAGATTTGATAGACATCTATCACTAATAAACTTGATAGATGTTGACCCATGAAATTACAATATTTAAGATCTTTTTAGGTTAAATTATATAAAATGCTCTTACACTTTATGATATAAATGTCCAACAATGCAAATTCAAACCAATCATTATGCTACAAGTTTCAATCATAAGAGCTCAAGAGTTAAAAAACATCAAGAAGCATTGAATGATAACTTCCAAGTTAAGATGTGTACACACTTAGTGAAGGAGTTGCATCCATTCAAGTTTGATAAGACATTTTTTTTTTCTTTTTTGATATCCATGAGTATTCAAGTCAGCTTGCGTGCACCTCGGCTAATCTCACAGAACTGACTCTACTACATTTAATTGCCAATAAAACACATAGGAAATTAATTCTTAAATAGGTGGTCATCATGATTAGGCACCTATTCCTCCAAGAAGCTTCACGAATCTTAAAATCCAAATTCACTCTGATCTTTAATGCATTATGTACCATTTATATCAATGTATTTTCACTAAATAAGGTTCATGTATGCTTTGAAGGTAATGTTGGCCGAATTTAGACTAATTTGGCCTTCATGTCTTTTAGCTCGGAGCTCCTAGCTCTTATGATTGGACCTCATGACATAATTATTGGTTTGAATTCACAGTGTTCAAGATATATATCAATTTATATATTTTTTTAAGTTCAACCTATAAAATTGTTTCTAAACAACCTTTTTGTCAACTTTTTAGTCGAAATAAAGATAAAAACGTGATGTAGCTATGGGTTGTGACCCTTTTCAATTTTAGTATACCCTAGTGTTAAAATTTCTTATTTAAACCTTTAACCTTTAAAATTATTTCAATACAACCATTATTTTACTTATGTATTAAAATGAAGATAGAAATGAGACGTGGTGCTGAGCTATAACACAATCTTGGTGTTTTAACCCCATTAAAAATGTCACCATTTGGGAGATGAGAAGATTTGGGGGTTATGATCCAACATTGTTCTCCTTAGGGGACAATCAAACCATGAGGCCCGCTCGAAATTTAGGGCCTCCCTCGTTACTGATTGAAAAATGGGAAGTTACTCATTCAAACCACAAGGACTTCTATTAATCAACAAGTTTTTACGTTTAAGGATGAAGATCGTCATACGGCTCCTTGAGGGCCATAAATAAATCTAAGGAGTGTGTCGTGATAATTTATCTTGATATGTCATTTTCGTAGAATAGTACAGGATAAAAACCTATTTGTGTCCCGTCTTTTATCATTCAATCATTTTATTTGTCATTGTCTTGAAAACGTTACCCAAATCTTCCATGATTTTCCTTTCACAAACTTCAGACTTCCTCTCGACCCGCTCTACTTCAACTTCAAACCACAGGAGGTTGCTAATTTTTACTGTTGTGCAACTCCCCCTCACCCCACGACTAAAACCCTTCCACTTCTTTTTACAACTTATTATCAAATGTGGTCACGTGGGAACCTCTATTTTTACAATTTATCGTCACGTCATACTTTCATTGTCATTTTAGTGAGGAAGCTAATAGAATAATTACGTTGAAGCAAGTTTTTAAAGCTTAATGAATTAAATAAAACTTTTGAAACAATAAAGCCATGATCGAAACAGGTCCAAAAGTTTATGGACATATATAATTGAAATCATGCACTTTGCATTCCCATCTATCTTTGTTTTTACCGCTCATTAACAGAAAATTTACAAATGGTTGTTTTGAAATAATTTTTAAGGTTAGAAGTAAATAAGTTTAAAATGTTATAAATATCAAAATAAGATGTCTATAACCCTCATACTTTTCTCTTTCCTCTTGAAAAGGGAAATCGGACCAACTCTGAAACTTTTTGACTGTCTTTTCATCTCTCTGGTGTTCTTATTGTTCTTAGTTTTATAACATAAAAATCATTTTTAAGGGTGTTTTATATAATTTACCATGATTAATTCAGTACTTTAAACTTGATTTTGTGGTTAAATAACATATTAAAAAGATAGATATTGGTTCTCATTATTTCACCAATTTTTTAAGCTACCCACATAAATATAGTTAAATAGCTAAATGGTAATTAAAGTATTTACTTCTTTATACTTCTTTCTTTGAGGGTTAAAACAACTTTCTTTGAGGTCCAATGTTCAAATCCTCATCTTCACGCTTTTTGTACTTAAAAAAAAAAATATATATATATATATATATATATATATATATATATATATATATAAAAGTGAAGAATCAAACTTATGAATGATTGAGTAGAAATAGAGATGCCATGGTAAGTCTCAAAGTTGCCGTATACATCAGCAGTATTGGTACCTACGTCCAACCATTACGTTGTGAATTCGAATTCTCCCACCCTACTTGTTGTACTAAAAAATAATAATAATAAATGAATATAACTCATCAAATTTTATTTAATTATTTTTGTAATTGATTATGATCGTGGATTATTGATCTGTGTTGTGTTATAACTTTTATTTTAATGAATATTCTTTTAAGAAAAGTAATAAATAATATGAAATTTTATAATATCAATCCGTGTATAACTCAATTGGTTAAGTCATGTATCTTCAATTAAAAGATTGTGAGTTCGAATCCTCACCCCACGTGTTGTATTAAAAATATACCTATGAAATTTTATAATTACCTCATTTGATATTTATTTAATTAATCAGTTTAATAAATAGTGATTTGAGAGTGCTTTTAGAAAAAATTCTATGTATATAATAACACTTTAATAAAGAGAATGCTTCATATAAAGTTATATTGATTTTTAGTTCTATTACTTTTTGGAGTACTTCCAAATCAAATACTTGGCCAAAAACATAGTATAAAAGTCTTTCTTCACAAAATTGTTGCTTCACCCTTTTTGAAAAATCACTTTAATATATAGTTTTTGTTAGTACAAGTAAAAAGTAGAGATTCAAATTCACGACTTTTTTATCTGAAATAGGTATTTTAACCAATTGAACTAGGTTTACTTTACACTTTAATATTATTTTAAATATGATAATCTTCAGTGAAAAATGATAATAAAACTTTGATCACTTTTCAACTTTTTTGAATGATTTTTTGAATATAAAATGCCTATATTAGGCCTAAGCTTTAAAAATATGACAATTTCTATCTTTAATATTATTTTTGTTGTCAAAATCTATCCCCAAAAACTACCTGAGCCAGGCCAAACCGAGCCAGGCCAAATCGAGCCTAGCTCAAGTGATTAAGGCACTTATCTTTGACCAAAAGGTCATGAGTTCGAATTCCCACCCCCACATATTCGTACTAAAAAAAACCTACTTGAGCCAACCTATGTGGTCATGTTAATATATATTTGAAACCACATCCACCGTCTATGAGATTACGTCATCATGACGACAAAGACCAAAATAGTTACTTTTCAAATTTTCAAAGACTAAGGTCTTGTTTGATAGCTATTTTGCTTTTCATTTTATATTTTTTCAAAATTAAAACTGTAAACACGACTTCACTTATGTAGGTATTTCTATGCTTTGTTATCTACATTTTGAATCAATTTCAAAATCTAAGCAAAATTTGAAAAGGTGAAAAAAGAAAAGAAAAAAAAGTATAGTTTAAATACTATTTTGGTCTCCGTACTTTCAAAATGTCATAAAAAAGTGACCATTTAGGTATTATTTGTAAAATTTTAACACAAATTTTATATACTACGAAAACCATTTAATACAAAGTTATGACTACATTTCAAGAAATTTATTGGACGTAGTGTCGTGCTAATGTGATACAAAAAAGAGATAAAACAAAAAATAAATGGACCAAAACCATCACTTTTAAAAATACACCGACTAAAATGGATGTTTTGAAAGTATAGAAACCAGAAAGACAAAAGTTGAAAGTACAACAACCAAATTAGTATTTAAACCAAAAAGTAGCTATTAAAAATTTGTTTCCGATGAAAAACAAATCGAGAAAATTTTAAGAGAGAAAGAAAACAAAAAATAAAAAACAAAATGATTATCAAATGGGCCTAAAACAGACATTTTGAAAATTCAATACCAAAATGCTAAAGGCCGAAAGTTCACAGACCAAAATGAGATTTAAGCGCTATAATTTCTATCAGCTCTTAAATATTGAAAAGATGAAAGTAAAAGGTCACTCCTAGAACTAGAAGTAATTCAAGCTTTGATTAGATAGAGCCTCAGCCCTCAACTGCTGAACCCCACAGCAAGAAACTCAAATGGGGCAAACAAAAGCACTTCTGAACCTATTTTAATATACTACAAATGTTACCTACTGACTACAACTTGCTCCAGTTCAGCCTGTGATGTGCTATTCCTTCCCTAACACTGATTCAAGAAGAGCAGCCTCCTCCTCCTGCAGACAAACAAAAGAAGCCATTATACCATAAACATCATCTGAATTACCAAAACTAGATCACGTTCACATACCACCAATGCATTAAATTCCGTCTCTTTGTCGATGGCGCTGATAATTGCCGGGTCCTCTAACAGCTCCTGTTTCCAGAACATGTAGCTAATTGGTCAGTTACTCTCCCCGTGCTCCCACTTTTACCTCGATCGTCATGCATTTGTTCAGTACATATGATCTCCAAAGTCGAATTCTATTAGACTAATCTAAGCCTATTCATTCCTTAAAAATATGGACAGAGGCTTGAGAGCAAAATGCATGATAAGAATCGAAGTCGGAGTTGAGCTGAACTTTTTTCTGTGATTTTATGGCTTCTTTGTGAGCTTTTAAGGCCAAATTTTTGTGTGAATTATCATTCAAACCCTTAAATACAGCACTTGCATACATTTAGGAGGGTGATTGATCAAATTGAAAGTTTGAGAGTGTTAATTGTAACAACCAAACTGTAGAATTCAGCAGAGATGAAAGTAATCATAAGATGCATGAAATTGGCTTACATCATCAGCAATTGTTAGTTGTCCAAGCTTGTCCTGCAAAAAACAAATGGGTAACACTGGATCAACCATCACTCAATAGAAGCAACAAGCCGACTAACAACATTTGATTTGGAAAAATAACACCTAGAACTGTACATTTAGCATCATTATGTTTAAAGAAGATTCCAATCTAAACACAACAGAGCCCAAATTGGAGTGTAACATGGGATAGTTATAACTAATTCATAGTGTTAAACTACCACTAATCCAAAAGCTTAAGCTTATACACCACAATAAAGTTAATAATTTACCTAAGACTCACTCCCCTCACTTGTGGGCTTGAAAATTTGCACAAAACCCAACAACAGTCATCACTTTAATTGGAGAGGAAATGATATTACAAGAGTTTGAACATAGAGCCTCTCGCCCAAAAGTTTAAGCTTATGGGTTATAGCAAATCTAACCATTTATCACAACTTTAACACATAGGTACCTTGGTAGCGACAAAAAGAAGCGGATCAGATGGCGTATAAATCATGTAATGTGCTCCATCCTGCACCCCACAAAAAGTGTAGCATGTACAATGCATTAAAATCATATATTTTAAATAAATCTGAAACAGAGAAGACCTGTGAAAATCTTCAGCTATCTAGAGGAATATGTTCACATCAGAACATAAACGTTTGTCACTATCCACTGAATGATTTATTCATGAATTTTGTTTATAAAAATGAAAACAGTAGTGGAAAAAATGATTTGCAAGATAACTGCATTTTGTAAAATAAAAGAACCAATACTAGAAAGTGAATTAATATAGTTGATGGCTGAAATCCAAATCTTGAGGATAAACCCCAACCAAGCATCAAAGACTTGTATCAACGATCAAAAATTTTTTTTTTATTACAGATCAATCATTGTTGTGAAGGTTAAAAATTACTTCCTGAGTACCACTTCGGTTTTTATTCATTTATTTTTTGGAGGGTCAGATGGTGCTGCTATTTAGACAACTATAGCACACGATGTATAAACCAGCAAATTAAAAAGACTGTTATAAGCACAGATTCAAATACAAATACAAAATGAAACACCGGATACTATAAATAACAAGAACTCGTGAAAGAAAGAAAGAAGATAACTCTAATTATTACAAATTTACACTATCTTTTTCTGAAATGTCATTATTTTGATGATGTATACATCAAAAAAAGTCCAAACTCACTATCACATCCATAAATTTAACATTACCATATGGAAGCAAGTGATTTCTACACCCTCGTTAGGCAAGCCATCTACATCTTGGCCATCATCTGCAAGAGAATGAACAAACTGCGTAAAATTTAATCCTGCATCTATTGTTTGTACACAAAAAACAGTCGGAAGTAGTGAAATCAATTACCTAAGTTTCAATATATGTAAATCTGTGCACATGAGAAGTTACATCTATTATGTAAGTTTGCACGTCTACAAGAATTTAGGTGAACAGCAGATATTCGTCCTTTATTTCTTGGAGACAGATTCATTCGGTCAAAAGTTATTTTTTTCCCCTCAGCAGGGAATACTAATTTCATCAAATTATCAAAAGTACAAAAGTGATAAGAAATTAGCCCAATTAGTGAAAAGGTCTTGTTCAAAATTGATCAGAAAAGAATGGTAGTTTAAAATTGAAATAAAGAACTTTAAATGGAAGCTCTATATTGAAGTCCCCCAAATATCTTCTTTACAAGAACAAATCAGCCCAAGCTCTTCTCCAATCCTTCTCATTGATAACCCAACAACACTAAAGAAACTTTGGAATATGCCTCTCCAAGAAGGTTAGGAGGAAACAATTTCTACAGATATAATGGAAGATCTGGAGAATAAGCAAGGCCTAGTTGTTTCTAAGCCAAGAAATTCTGGGAAATGAAGAACCTAATCTAACATAAACTCTATAGGATATATTGAAATGAGATATGTCCAAGATAAGGGTACAAGCGTCAATAATTCATTAACTGGTTAAATTCCAGCAGTACCAATGGTACACCAATGGAGTATTTATGCCTACAATTGAAGCATCAAATTGTACGGTCAGAAGTTTGATGTGGCACTTAGCGTGGAACACAATGAAAGGCTTTTTGAAGATATATCTCCTTTTGAATTTTTTTGAAGATAAGAAATTCTTTTGTAATTATGGCCTCCTTATGATTATCAAGGACTGGCAGCCTCTTACTAAGTAGTTCCTCGAGATGGCGTGCCCTCTACCTAGTTAGGCTATTCCATGCCTTCCTTTTTTTGGAATACATCAGTCTATTTCTTACCCAAAAAAAAAACATCAAAAGAAACATGCATTAGATACGTTAATGTAAAACCATAAGTGGCTGCAAATTCAAAGTTATGTCATGAGATTTCTTTTTACATACATGAGATACATGTGACTTTTTTGTTATTATTATTATTACTTTTGCTAATGAGAAACCACTAATTTTAGTAAACTGATGGCCCAAAACAACCTAAAGGTATCCCCATGCCACAAGGGAGGAATTAAACAAACAGCCTCCAATCTTGGTTGATGACTAAAGAAGCATAGTCACAATAAAATTGGTGTATTAAACTAAAATCATAAATTTCCTTCTAGACTGCCACAAACGTGCTCTAGTTGCGTGAGACCAAAGGATTCTAGCTTTATTGATATCTTTTACAAGTTAAAGTTAAACAAATACAAATGATCGTAGAATCATTTAAAATTTTAGAAAAATAATGTTGATACCTGTGCGGAAATCAAATATGTCATCTTCTGAATAGCAAAACCCTCCCCTTGCTGTATAGCAAAATCTAACAGGAGATTAAGATATCAGATGGTGTAACGAAATATAAACCAAAACTTTTTTCATAAAATTTTAATGAAGGTATAAAAACTATCATACCCACTGTGTACCAAATGCATGTGTATTTTGGCCAGAGCATAAGCAGCAGCAGGAAGAATAGCTTCAACTTCATCATCACTAACCTGAGACATAGAAGATGGAGACTATTTTTTTAAAAGGGAACAAAACTTTCATTGAATTTATAAGAAGTTGCAAACAGATTACATAGCCACAATGATTACAACTCCAACTAGGAGCATAACAATTCCCAGAGGAAAAAAAAAAGAAAAAAAAGGAGACACTCATTTACAGAATAATGAAAGAGTGCCCTAAACCACTTCCATTAAAAAAATAACCCCTAAGAAGAAAGAAAAATACACCAAGAAGCAAAATAATAGATGCAAAGTGTCTCCTCAAAGTGCTCATAATCCACTCCCAATGTTCTGTCGAAAAACCTAAAACAAAACTATCAAATGACCAATAGACCATATGCTCTCCTCAAGAAACCACAAGAATATCCACTCTTCCATTATGAAACAGCAAGTCCACAAAAAATTACTCTGAGATCAGCCAAGCAGAAGGAAGGAAGAAATTGGAGAAAATCATTATAAAAATTAAGGAGAAAATACTTTGGTTAAATCAATTAAAACCCTAAATTTTATCAAAAGAAAAGAAAAAAGAAAAAAGAAAAAAATTTAAACTGTAAACTAATAATTGTATCAATTTAAAACATAAATTTTCATGAGTGAAATTTTCATTCATCAATTAAATCTCTGTTTTTTAGCAAACAAAAAAAAAAAAAAAAAACCTTTCATAAGTGAATTAATTTACACCCACCATTCGAGTTCTGTTTGAAAATCATTAATGCATAATATTTCATTTAATCTTACCTTTAAAGACGTCTATGCACGTATGAGAATTATACATTAACGGTCTTCAAAGAAAACCCTGGTTCCTAACTGAGGGTCTAAGATTTACCTAGGAAAGTTTAGGTTTTAATTGATTCAACCTGCAAAATTTAGGGGTATAAATTGATTTTTTCCCTAAACAAATTTTTTGGAGCAAATAAAAAGCACGAATTGTAAAAGAATGGAATTTTCCTTACATAACATAGAAATATACCAGCTTCACGACTTGAATTAATATCATAAACCCATGTGTATTCGGAAGTTCATGAACACTCTAAAACTAGCGAGGAAATTTAACCAGAGGAAAAGAAATCATACAGCTGACCATCCATCAATATTCTTGCTCTTTAATATTTGAACAGGCCTGCAGCAATTTTGAGGTAAATTAGATAAGACATCAAACTTTCAACGTGCGAAGGCTATATCATAGTTACATGGTACCGACACCACTTACGTGTCCATAGGGCAAAGCAGCATGCACTCATCCCCTTTTGAACTTCTAAATACTCTTCTTATAACGCATTCCAAAGGCAAGTTATTTAAAGGATCAACCTGTCCATTTAGAATTTTTAAAGATGCAAAACCCAAAAAAAAAAAAAGAATAGAAGTGAAGATTTTATTAGACCACAAATACAACAAAAGAAATAACAGAATAAAAGAGAACTTAGTAGTTAGGATGTAGCTTTTCGGAATTCTGTGGTTTCGTCCAAATCCAAGTACACCAAAGGAAGCCTTTGATAAGAGCCAAATAACTTCTGTCTTTTTGCTTAATGGGTGATTAAGGAGGAGAAGGTAGATGTAGACACCTTGGAGTCTTGGAAAAAAGACTAGCTGAAGGAGGAAAAAGCATATTCCAGAATTTAGTTTACTTGATCACCATGGAAAAGATGTGGTCTTAAGATTCCTCAGGCCATTTGCAAATGATGCACATATGGCCATGGATGGATTTCTTCGTATTTTTTATCACGAGAGTTTGATACTCTCAAGGAGAATTTCCTTTCACCTTTTTAGGGGAGCTGTCCTTCCAAATGATAGAGCACAATTGACAGCCTTGAACAGTTTTGAAGGAGGATTTACAGCTGAAAAGGCTTGGGGCCAAGGGGCTAAACCATAAGTCATTTGAAGCAAAAAGGAGATTAATGTATGATGATGCCCATTCAAGAAAGGCAATCTTGAAATTCGCTTGAGATGTTGATTTGACGATCTCAAGCGATCTGTTTATATGCCTCAGGTTTGGAAACTCAAAGGCTGATCAGTCATTCTACTCCTTTAAAATTACTACTTCAACTACTCTCTACGTTTTGACATTTGGTTCATGTGAATGACATTTAGTCGCATGGAGTAACTAACTGCTATTGATTCACCAATTCATGACTTCGATAAAGCATTCTCTCTTAAAGACTTGGTACGTCTAAAATATTCTTCTAGCATTATGGTTGTGGGTGCCTCAAGGATGGTGGCCTTATTCTGTCACAGTCCAAATATACCTTTGATTTGCTAAAGGTCAAAATGGATGGGGCCAACTCCAATTCTACACCAATAGTGAGTCCCTTTACAGCTTAAAAAGTCAGAACACGTTTATTGATCCATTACAATATCAAAGCACAATGAGCACCCCTCAATATCTCACAATTACTAAACCAAATATCGTTCTAATAACGAATTCCAATTTCTTTAAAAAAATATTACACCACAACGATAGAGGTGAGGATTCAAATCTATAACCTCTTAAATAAAGTAAAAATCCCTTAACTATTGATTGGGTTATACTCATATTATTAATTCCAATTTAAGAATCATCTACATGACATGAAATATATACCAAGGTACTTAAACTTAAAAGAAACTGCTCCATTTGGTCTTCATCTACAAAAACCTTTGTCCTTAAATCTTATTGGCTTTTTTCTTTGATCTTTAGCTTACCGAGCTCTAAACACTTCCGAGAGACTTCAGAAGAAATGCCCAAATTGGTCTATTTCCTCGTCGGTGTGTTGCCTTTGTCTAAGGGAAGCAGAATCTTTAGATCACTTGTTTCTACATTGTACGTTTGCTTCTAAATGTTGGCAGATTATGTTTGAGATTTTCGGGTTTGTTGGTTGTATGCCGAGAAAGGTTGAGGATTGGATGATGGAAAGCTTTGCTGGTGGGCATCTCAAAGGAAAGGCATATTTTTTGTGGAAGTGTGTTTTTCGAGCGCTTCTTTGGAACCTATGGATGGAAAGGAATATTCGCTCTTTTGATGATAAGTCCAAGTCTTTTGATTCTTTTTGTAATAGTKTACATATTACAGCCTATTGGTGGTGTCATATGAATACGAAATTCTTTTGTAACTACAACCTCTCCATGATCCTTCAAGATTGGAGAGCGTTGATTCGTTAGTTCCTTTTTGGAGGGGTCTTCTCGTCCCCTGTCCCATAGGCTGTTTTTGTGTTTCTCTCGTTAAT